CCAGCACCTTACCCACCACGCCCCCTGCTGGTCCCCCCAACCTCATTTTTTTTTTTTTTTGCATATGACTGTTCAGGTGTATCAGAAGTATTTGAAGAGATTTCTCTTTTTGCTGTTGTGTAGCCTTAGTGCCTTTTGGCCAAGATCGTTTGGTCATTTGTATGAGGTTATATTTATAGGCTATTTTTTCTATTCCATTGGCCTTTATGACAATAACACACTGTTTTATTTGGTTTGGTATAGGGCATGTGCACCTGCCAGAGAGAAAGACAAAGAGAAAGAATAAGAGAAAGAGAAAGAGAGAGGGAAGGTGAGAAATCTCCCCCAAGGGGATGGCTATGTTGCATTCTCCTCTTGGGACTTTGGACATGCATACACATGTGCTCAGCGTGATTTTCAAGCTGTTAGGGTCCAGGACTCAAACCTCACAACTGGCCGTGTGGGATCCAGCTGCCTTAACCTTCACCCCATCTGTTGGCCCAATACACTGCTTTAATTATTGTAACTTTGTGGTGTCCTTCAAAATCAGAGACTGTGAGACATCCAACTTTGTTCTTATTTTCTGAGATTGTTGTGGGTTTTTTGGGGATCAGCAGACGGTGCAATGGTTACGTTGCCGGACTCACACATAATCAACAGCAGTTTGAGTCCCGGACCTGGTGGCTTAAAACTCATACCAGGCACTTGTATGCGCATGCCCAAAATCCTGAGAGGAAAAGGGATTGTGGCATGGCCATCCTCCCTGGGGGGGTGATTTCTTGCTTTCTGTCTCTCTGGAGAGTACCCAGGCCCTGTAGCAAAAATCTCTCTAAAGAAAAAAATATTACTGTGGTACCAGCAGTTAGCATAATGGCTATGTTGCTGGACTCCAACGTAGTTGACCACGGTTCGTGTCCCATTCCCGGTGGCTTAAAACTCGCGCCGGGCGCATATGCGTGTGTGCCCAAGATCCCGAGAGGAGAATGGAGGAGAAGGGATTGCGGTGTGGCCATCCCCTCTGGGGGGTGATTTCTCTCTCTCTCTGCCTGGCGAGCACACATGCCCTATAACAAAAACCTGTAAAAAAATAGAAAAAAAGAAAAAAAATGTTACTATTTTGTTGATAGTGTCATCATAAGGAGAGTTCTGAGATTTTTGTATGAGTTTTATGATACCTTTCTCTATTTCTGCCAAAAAGACCATTTGGATTTTGATAGGGATTACATTTAATCTGTAGAGTGCTTTGCATATTGTAGACATCTTAACAGTATTAGGTCTTTCAATCCGTGAATATTGGATGTCTTTCCATTTATTGGCTTCTTTCATTTTTTTCAGTAATGCTTTGTAGATTCAGTGTTCAGATCTTTCACCTGTGTTCAGTTTAGTCCTAAGTACTTTATCCTTTTGGATGCTATTGTTAATGGGATTTTTTTGTACCTTTCCTTTCATATTGTTCACTGCTAGTATAAGGAAATTCTATTTTTGTTCGATTTTTGAATCCTATAATTTTTCCGAAGTAGTTTAATAGTTTCACATTTTGTTGCATGCATAGACTCTTGAGAGCTTTATATATACAAGGTCATGTTTTCTGTGGACAGGTATCATTTTATTTCTTCTTTTTATTTTTTTAAAGAATTACTTTATTTAACTTTATTTATTTATCTATTTATTTAGATTTAACCAGAGAGACAGAGTGAGAGATAGACATAGGAAAAGTGAGAAAGGAAGCCACCTGGTCTGGGATTCTAACTGCAGTTGGTCATGTGGGAGTCTAGCGCCCTTAGTCACCACACAACCTGTCGGCTCCTCTTCTTTCTTTTTTTTTTTTTTTTTTCATTTTATTTTTTTGCCAGAGGTCATGTGCACTTGTGGGGGTTGAGGAAAACAGGAAGAGATTAAAAGTGAGGAAGCACCGTCATGGGGACTTGGTCACCTCACAATCCATTCTTCTCCATTTCTCTATTTGGGGATTTGGGGCGCAGACACATATGCCAGCGTCTTTCTCAAGTCTCCAGGTCAAAAATTCAAACTGTACAATGGGCCATGTGTGATCCAGCCACTTCAACCCCCGGGCCACACGCTGGCCCAGTTATTATTTCTTTTGTACTTTAGATGCTTTTTCTTTCTTTGCTTTTCTTATCTAATTGCTCTGGCTGGAACTTCTAGTCGTGCTATGGTGGAATACAAAAGAGTGGGCATCCTGGCCATCTTCCTGACCTTAGAAGAAAGGCTTTCAGTCTTCCATCGTGGAGTACGACGTTAGCTGTGAACTTTTCGTATCCGGCCTTTATTAGGTTGAGGAACTTTCCTTCTGTTTGTCATTTGTTGAGTGTTCTCGTCGGGAAAGAGGGCAGAATTTTTTTTTCAAATGCCTTTTCTCACCAACTGACAACGATCATGTGGTTTTTGACCTTCATTCTGTTCGTGTGGTTTCAACGGTCAGCCTTCCTTGCATTCCAGGAACA